ATGCTAAAATATTTAATGATTAGAAGATTCATTTACTATAAATGCGACTAGGATGGTATGGAGTCGAATCGAAACTTTCCTTTGAAAAATAAGTAAATTCAGCAGATTAAAATTCACCTCAAGACACATAAAAATTATGCTTTAACAATTGTTTACCATTTGAAAATTTCCATTCGACAGAATTATTTCCAGGGTTCTTTGAAAATTCAAATCTTCATCATAAAATTACATATTAATTTAAGATAAAAATCTTAGATAAAGCTTGCTTAAATTATTTTACATTTTGGAAGAATTGCCCATTCTTAGATTACTCTACAAGAATCAAAATAAAGTTGAACCACTTTTATTTATTTATTTATTTATTTCACCCTCCCATGCCACAATGGCAATACGGGTGTTTGCGATAGTGTGTTTTAGGCATGAATACTTAATAACACACTACTACTAGATGTGCACACAGTTCTTCTGTTCTATCTTCTTCCTTCTTCTTTCGGACTAGCTTCCAGAATCTGGAGGCCTTCCTGGCGCTTGTCCTCTTCTTCTGCGGGCACCAATACGGAAGTGAGCGGGCCCCACCACCGTCTTCCATCCGTATATGAAGTCCTTAAACCGCGGGAAATCTTCCTCGCTGACTAACTGAGGAAACTCATTTTCAGTGAGGAAATAGATTCCCGCGGCTCTTATCATTGTCACTCTTAACGTTTCAAATGTGGTGCAGGTCGTGACCACATGCTCTACAGTTGAACCACTTATATCCAGAGTAAAAATAGAACTTTATACTACAGGAGTAAGGGGATGGCTGAGCGGGTTAACGCGTATGTACAGGGCACCTGATAAAAGATAATTTGCAATAAAATAATTTATAATTAGTTCATTTGATTATTCAGCATAACTAGTTTTAGAGAAGACCATAAGTATTCTTAGGCAACTTTTTTTATAGATTAAAGACTATTTTTCGATTTCAACTTTGGAGATGCGTGAGGGGTGGGAGATATGGTTCTGAATAGAGTAATTAATGAAAAGTAATAATGATAATTTATCATTGTCAGTGTATCCATCATTGATCAATGATCGGAACCGTAAGGAATGGGGCGGGGTGGCCGAGCGGGCTAACACGTGTGCACAGCACCGCGCGATACCCAGGTATGGAAAACCATCTGATAACCATAGGTATAGGAGATAAAACAACTAGGAGTTCGCGTCCCGGTGCCGGGAGGGCTTTTATTTCTGGTATTAATCCTCCGCTCTTACTCTAATGACTCCGGAAATCCCCATAGAGCCGTAAAATGTGAGTAAGAGGAGGATAGAAAAAAATATTGGAGTAAAAAGAAGGTTTAATCGAAAAACGTCAAAATATAAGTCGCGACAGTCATTATAATGTAAGAAACATTAAGATTTAAATACATGAATATTAGATTACTGCAGTAAAAGACTGCATCGGAAAGCGATTTCTGAGAAAATAGTATTAAAGAGAGAGTAGAAGTCGCTGCTAAATTGAGAAAATGTAAAGCCCTTAGTGTTTTAATGAAGTTGAAGTTAGTTTTAATTTCCCGCTACCAACCGGATAATACTGATTTCTCTGCTACTCATTATTTATTAATTAGACTGTCACAATATAGAACATTTGTGTTTTATGTTAAAAATTAAGATAAACATACAAATGAAGAGGTTTAATTTTAGATTATATTATTTAAAAATTATATTATTATAGAAAAATTTTTAAAAATAAATCATTACAACCATATTTATAATTTATAATACCTAAAAGTGATCCGAAGATAAAATCACAATTGTCATCGATACTGTAGATGTACAATAACAAACAAGTTTAAGAAACACTTGGAAATATTTCTGGTTAAAACACCATTCAAAGATTATGAATATAAGGTTAGTATTGGGGAACATGGGAACGTCTTGGGATCCCACCAACAAATCTGACGAAGCCATTATACATACCTATACTATAATATATATATATACTTATAATATATATATATACTTATAATATATATATATATATATATATATATATATATATATATATATATATATATATATATATATATATTTATAATAATTATAATTAAATGTTTAATGAACTCGGAGGTTTGATGTAGGTAACAAAACCTAATTTAGGTAATATTTGCATGAAGGAAAATATTTGAATGAAGGAAAATATTTGATCAATAGTTCCATAATATGCAAAATTGGCTGTCTCCGATATTTTCCTCGGCATTTTATAATATGGACATTTTTGATATATAATTATTGTTAAGAATTTTTTGAAATTATAAGTCATTAAAATACATGATACTTATAACGATTAAAATTAAAATTATTCATTTTTTAGTTTTTATTTGTGTAAAAAAATAATTTTTGTTTACATTATAATTAATGCAAACAAATAATTGCCTCCGAAAAACCTCACATCAAAGGAATGCTCCATAATTAGCTGATACGAGATTGGAAATATCAAACTGGTCCATATACAATTGCTACAAGGGCTGTACAGACCAAATATGAACAGACCAATGAACATCTCACAGTCTAACACCTTTTCCGATATAAAAAATATCGTAAATAACAAATTAAACAAACAATTGAAGATGCGGCACTACATAAAGAAAGAAGTGGTATTGAAACAACTCTTAAATACTTCAAAAAGACAAAATTTATTTTAAAAAAGTCGTCGATAATGGTCTCGGAATTTGAAGCGACTTTAAATGCAAGCAAATAAATAAGACAGTTTGCAATCTTCCTAAAAAGAACATAAAACAAATTATAATACATGAACCTATTTGGCTTCTAATACCATTTCATTTATTAATAATCAGGTTAAACCGGCATCAATGAGTCAATACTATTTACAAGTCGTTTAAAATAAATGTAATAAAAAACCCTCTAAAATATTGATATATAATATGTATCAATATGTATTATTTATGCACACTCCAGTTTTCTTTATAATTCACCATCGTTATATTTTGCAAGTGATAAATAATTTTTTTTTTAGTATTTTGAGAGATTTAGAATGTGTAATAAGAGATTTTTGGAAGGTATAACTATGTCAATTCTATAATTAATACAGATTTACTTTATATATTTTAAATCTTCGGCAGAAATTATTATTTTATCTATATTAATTTTTTTATGATGATGTGACAAGCAATCAATTGGTAATTTAATTTTTAGAATGTTATTTTCAATAATGAACCATTGTGATCGAATAAAAAATTAAAAAACTTAACCCCCCCTCAAAATTTGAGGTTTCACGTTTCAGGATACATAGAATCCGAAAAACGAATACAATTTTTTTTGTTCGTCCGCCGTCCGCCGTCAGCGCATTTCCTCCGAAACAACTGGACCGATTTTTGTTTTCAATTTTAGATTTAAAATTAGAGGTCACTCGAGGATGATCCTCCTTCATCGACATTTCTATCCGCCTATTCCTTTCAAGATGACTACCGAAAAACCTGCGTTGCTATAGACTGTAGCACCTAAACGAATGTACCGATTTCAATAAAACTTCGCTAAAGTCTTCTTCTTGAAGCTCTTTCAATTTATCTATATAACATACCTCAACGAAAAGAAGCTGAAAAAAAGTTGCGAGGGATGGTAAAATTATATTCAGAATTACTCAAAAAGTATAACCTCCGTCTTAATTAGTATTTAACCATTTATTTTATGGTTATTAAAAAGTTAAACAATTCCCAAAAAAACAAAAATATATCGTTAAAATCAGACAATTAGGAGCAAAGATATGGTCTCTAGATGTTTTTTATATGTTATACTGCAAAGGTTATATCCTTTGTTTTGGTTTTGGATTTTTTAATGCGTGACTAAAGTAATGCTAATTCTTTTAGTATATTACTGATGATTAAAAAACAAGTTTAGTCCAATAATTGGAATCACTTTTTATTTCTTTTTCTTTGTCACTAGAAAGGTAATGTTACTTTAGATGTATAATTGTTAGGAAATAATAAATCACTGTGAAATAATTTGCAGCGTTTTTATGTTTAGAATATTTAAAATGATTGCTTGTTATATATTTATTTCACATTGTGGTGGCCTATGTACTGCTGTATAAGAAAAATAATCAAGGTAAACGATTTACTGTTAAAAAAATAGTTTTGTAATCATATAAAAAGTTAAGAGTGTCACAGTCAACCGAAAAACAGCCGAAATGTTTAGGGCCTACACCAATTTACTTAGAGGATTACATACATTGATAATATTCCTTCAAAATGAAGTTGATGACAGCTTCAAATTAAAATCAATAACTAGAGGTATTATTGTATATCTCCAAAAAATTATACTGGTTTACCATTTACTTTAACCATAATTATATAGTTTTTACCATTTATCTCAATATTGAATACTCAGATTTGCAATACAAATTTACAACAAGACGTATTTAGGTAAAGTAAATTGAAAAATCTTGATTATGATAGTAATACTTTATAAGATACCAATATGATTATCAATCATTTTTGATCTTTCCAGTTGCAAAAAGCCACTAACTACCTTTCTTCATCGATACTTCTAAAAAGGTAACGTTTTGGATAGAGAATTATTATATTATACAAAATAAAAACTAGAAAAAATAAAATAATTCAGCGCATGTGGATTTCGTACATATGTTCAGGAAAAAGGAAGGATACATTTCAAGAAATATTAGATAAACGCCTTACGACCAATTTAATCTAGCTGGAATTTTGTTTATAGATCCCTGCAACAAATTTTAATTATAACGAAGAGGCTAAGAATATAAGAAATAGCAGTGATAAAGATATCATTAATGTTTTTAATATATGTTAAGTAAAAATAGAAATTGTTATAATTAAAATATGTTTGTTTTTATTATACTTTTTAGTTACGATTTGTTGTTGTTGCATCTCACTCTTTAACTCTTAAAATACATTTTTAATATTATTTTCTAAACTAACTGGCTACATTTATTGTCAAAAGTATTATAGACAGAAACATCCTAAAATACTCACATTTTTTTTTTCTGATAGCAACGAATTATCTTGATAGAGAATACATCACGCCCGTTGCACAACATAGAAACACTTGACTTAAAACGTTCTTTCGAGATCTGGCCATCTTCCATCATACCTGCGAACTGTTCTCTACTAACTTCTTCAAAGACTATCTATCCCCACTTTTAGCTTCTTAGATTCGTAGAAAAACATATGGTCTAGCTTTGAACGTCAGAATCTTTCGACAGTTGGGTTTAGAATTTCATTTCGTGAGAGTATTTTAGTTTTCCTCGGTAATAAGACCGTCAACAGTTTGGAAGCCAAGAATAACAAACCCAAAAATAAAGAAGAGATAGCTGGAGTTGTAACTTTGAAAAAACTTCAAAAAGGTTTGATGATTAATATGAACAATTTAAAATTTTATTTCAATAAAATTTAAAGATGATTGGCCAGAAGAAGCATTGAATTCTTGAAAAATAGTCGAACTATTTTTTCTCATATGTTTTGATGATTTCATCAAACACTAATAAAAATATCAATTTTTTTAAAGATACTTTGTATATATGATTTATAAAATATGAATATCTTTTGGTGGTAAAATTGATTTTATAGCTTTTCTAGTTCTTTTTCAGTGTTTCTCACTCAGAATTCTGATTGATGATAAACTTAAAAGTAGCGTTGCCCAAATGCCAGACCGAGACTAGTCTTGGTCTTACAAACTCAGTCTTGGTCTCGCGTAAGAGTCTCGCAAGAGTCTTGCAGTTACTTATTAGCTTAGTACTATAGAGATAGTACTGTAATGTTTTAGATAGGAGAAACCTAACTAAGCCCGAATGAAAAATTCAGAGGAGTTAAAATGCAAAATGGTTATACCAAGTATTAACACATAGTAACTAAGATTGTCAAGTATTAGTAACTATTTTGCTTTATTTTTATTTAAAAAATTGATTTTTTTTACCAGTCCTGGTCTTGGTCTTGCAACAGATAGACGGTTTTGGTCTTGGTCTTGCAAAGTGCAAGACCAAGACCGATTTTGGGCAACACTACTCATAAGACTAATTTTGATAGAGGCGCTTCTTGACCAATTCGTAGTTAAAAAACCAAAACACATGCCAATGACTTCAAAAAGATGATTAGACCACAACAGGGTCCCTCTGATTTTTTTAGATAAATTCGTTTTTCTGGACCAGCTACAATATTGAAAAATAAAAATATAATAAATATTTCTAACTAGAAATTTTATAAATGTATTTTAATTTTTATGTCAGTTTTTGATTTAAAGAATAAGATATTCTGATTAGATTATAAAACCTGCATAAGGCCTAATATCCTGCTTCGTTTTTGAGAAAGATGACCCAACGAAACAAACACTTAAAATTTGCTAATTATTATTTGGTGAAACTGTGAATAACATCTTTAAGTGCCGAGCCATATCTTGATTTCGACATTTTGTGACTCAAATGGAAATTAGAATGCTTATTGAACGCTTTTTATTTTTATTAATATAAAAATCAAAATTTGAACTTCTAGGAAAGTTTCATTGAGTTATTTAAAAAAAACAACACTGGTTATAATAATAAATATTTCTTAGTTTATGGTTTTGACATTTTTTCTTTAATTATTCTTTCCTTACTACTAACTTCTAACTCGGGGATTCAGGTAGTTCAGTAGTAGGGTATTGGGCTTCCAATGCTAAAGGGCCCAGATTCGAATCCCGGCTCCCATGGGAGTAAAATTATTTATTCCGTTTCATTGGCCATGGGGTGACCCTGGTAGGTAGACCTCCCTAGGGCACACCCAGCCTCTATAAAGTAGGTAATCTGAGGAAAAATCTGGTGGTTGAGCGTGATCTCGGACAAATCACCTCCTAGCACAACCGTAGACCAAGAAACAGTGCTTTTCCTAAATAGTACTGAACCGAATTTAATAAAAAATTTATTCCGATTTGTATCATTACTTCTTATTAATTTTTATTTGAGCGTTTCAAAAATATTTTTCCTCCCTCTTTAGCATATAATTTATCTCAGTGTTGGATAAATCTTAGTTAGTAATAAGGTTGTCATTAACCACAAAACACTCGACTAAAAATTTTAGTTAATAAATATAAATATAGAAAGAATAATAAGTATTTCGTTCCTATGGTTATAGTTCATAATACACCTGTTAATAAGTATCCATATCCTTTGACTTCCAGCACGGGCGGAGCAACGGGGGGGGGAGGGGGAGGGGCTTTCGGGCTGAAGCTCCCCCCCCCCAAAATGGAAAAATATAACCATGTTTTATGGGGGAAAAAAAATAAAAAAATCCTCTTAAAGTATTATTGTTCGTGTAATTACATTTAAAAGTACTTAAGGAATAACTTAAACACCATTTCATATAGGTAGTTAGTTTCTTTCTGTTTTTCCAAAGTAATTATCGTTATTTTTATGAAAAAAAAAATGGTTTCGGGCTGAAGCCCCCCCCCAAAATTAAATCCTGGATCCGCTAGTGACTTCCAGTATCCATAAGTTCTTAACAATAAACTCTAGACATTCTATGAACATGTCATTATGTAGTTAGTGGAAAGATGGGAAAAAGCCATATTAAATAATGGTCAATGCATTGTAGATTAAAATAAATTTTATGTATATAATATATTGAGTTTTATTTCACCAGAAAAACCGAAGGGACTTATTTGCTCAACCCAATATTTCGAAATAAATTTCATCAACAGTTAATATAAACTCGTGCAATAGAGTGAATTAATTTACAAATAACCAACGAGTAGAAAATTTTTTATTAAAGTAAAAAAATCTCGAAATTTTTTGTCCTTTGAATTGTGTCACTCGGGGAAATCGCCCCATGATCCCCTATTTCCGGCCCTGGTTTAATATTCTAGTAACCGTAGCGGTAAAATAAATTACTTTTAAAGAGAACGATTTGGGAATTTCCTGGTTCCAGTAATATTCATTACTGAAGGACTTCTAGTTTTGAAAGTCAATTTTTGTTTGTTTTCTTTTAATAAATTTTTAGGGAACTTTTAAATTGAGCCGTTCGTTTTCATGAAGTGTGGGCGTTATAATCTGGATGAAGGCATATTTCGCAACGCCGCATCTTGTTTGAAGAAAAGTAACTTTAAAAGGAATTTTCTTTGAGTTAAAAGACTTCCGTTTTTAATTTGCTGTTTTGTCTGATACTTGAAGATTTTTAAATTCTTAAGTTTATTAATAGTATATTGATCATTGATCATAACTAATAGTATATTGAACAAAATATAAATTATTTCTGCCATCACTTTTAACACAAATGGCAATCTCATCAATATAACCCCTATAAGAATTGTTTTGGATTAAGAGAATGTTGATTATCCTCTGACTGTTTATTAAGTTTAACATTTTTAAGATAGTTTCAAGCGTAAAACCAGGAGAGAGGTTGTAGGAGAGAGCGAATATTTAGGATCTATAATTATTTAACATTTTCATGTTTTCAATATTTTAAATCTGTTATTTAAAGTAAGCGTGTAGTAAATGTATTGGTTCTACCAAATAAAAACGTGTTGCAAGGAGCAAATGCTTAAGACAATCTATAGAAAATAATGTACTAAACTTAATTCTGCACGAAGGTTTGTGTTTAAAAACAAAAATTATTTCTTTCAGATTATCTATAATTTTTACTGATTATGGAACGAATAATGAATTTCAAGAGCCCATGAATGAATTGAACCACGTAGCATTTAAGAACAAAAACATTTTCCTATCAGGTTCTTTGTGATTATTATTCATTATTTAATCTTCAGGAAGACGATAAAAACTCATATTTCAGATTCCATAACAATTAATACACAACATCTGAATACGATTCAATCCAATCTCTTTGTAAATAATGATATTGTTTTAATAACTCGCCTTCAAATTATCAACATCATAAATTAAATAAAAATTAATCAATATTATAAATAAATTAAAAAAAGATGGCGCCCAGAGAGATTTAAAAGGCAAAATTTAACCGACGATTTGACCAACTATTTAGACTACTAAGGAAAACAAATAAAATTTTTCAATTGAAATAAATTACTAATTTAAAAGACAGATTCGAAATAAATCATAATATATGGTCTAAGACTGTGGAGAACAGTTCAATTCCTAACAATATTACACCATGGACAAGAAAAACCGTCATGGGCTCAACTGAAACTATCAATTAGGCCGTGGTAACGGATTCGATGAGTTCCATACAACCCATTGAAAATACCAGACCAACAACTACTCTAGCAGAAGAAATAAGACACATTTGGTGGCTGCTAAAGCAGAAAGGTAAACTAATAAAATTCATCTGGGTCCCATCGCATTGCGGGGTAACTGGAAATGAGCAGGCTGACCACAGTAGAAGCCTGGGTACTCGCAACAAAAAATAAGTTGTTGGAAAATTGGGTAAATAGATGGAATACGAAACAAGTGGGCTGCTTGCACAAGAATATTCAGAAGAAAAGAAACCATATTGTGTAGAATACGAATTGGTCACTGCCTGTTTACTCACGGATACCTTCTCAGAGCACCCACCTGCCAAAAGTGAAACTACCAATAACAATGAAAGAAATATTAAAAGACAACGAAGATAGAGTCACTACCCTATTCCGATATTTGATTGAGACCAAATATTACAATAGAGTATAGAAAACTAGCCGCCAATGACGCTATTGGGTAGAGGCGATTACAAATAAAAAAAAAAGAAATTAACTACTTCCAGGTTTACTACTACTTCAGATAAATTGGATTTCATGGAATGATGTTCGATCAGCTATTTTTCTGTCCTGATGATGTCTGAATTGGGGAAACGTTGACGGATTTTTCTTTGCCTACATTTTGGAGACGTAAGGCTGTGTGTTTTGGAATGTTTTCCAATAATAATCTAACTACAGATAAATTAATATTTATCTTTATTTTATTAATAGATAAATTTATGTATTATTTAAAAGTAAAAAACTCTCACATTGTTTAATATTTTATGGTTTTCCAATATCCTATGAACAATTAAATAATCAAGTGGATGAATGTGATAAGTGACACTTTGGAAAAAAATCGAATTATTTGCGAAAATTGAAGGCATAAGAAAAGTTGTCGGAAAGTTCTTCCGTGATAGGTTTGGTTTGGATTTTCGTGAGGTCTTTATAGTGATGTTATCTCGTTTCTGGTTCTTGTCATCGTCCTGGATATATTTCTCAGAGTCAGATGTACGTAGCACTGTTTCTTCGTAAGTATATTTATTAATAAGTGTTTTCTCGTCAGTATATTTATTAATAGGTGTTTCCTCATCTGAATATCTATTAATGGGTGTATTGTCATCAATATCACCTGTTAATTGCTATACTTCAAGTCGTCTGGTGTGTTTGACTCAATACCTACAGTTGCAGTCTTTGCTGTTTCCTCCAAACTATCAACTGTGATTAAGCATGGTTCGATCCCAGTAAAAGCGTGTGCATAGTGTTTACCGGATTATATCCTTCCTGAAATTCTATTTCTAAAGATTTCGCAGCAAAGTGGTCTAGTTTCTTGCAAACATAACAGACTAAAACATCTTCAGCTAGAAAAACTCGGTGACTGATCCCTGGTAAGAAAAGGTCACCGTGCTACTTAACTTAATTATATCATCCGCCGCTATAAATACTTGTAGCCGGAACGTTAATAGGTGGCTCAGTTATTTTTCCCTATACCCGAAGGGAAAAAAAGTTATTGATGATAGTAGCCTAAACCATAGCTTCTAAATTTCTTCTTCAAAAATTGTTTGAGGTATACTGGGTCATTGGAAATAATGATCCGCTTTCCTGGATAAACCATTCGTTTAATTGGAATCTTATGGTCTCCTATCATCATACAGGAGTGCTTTGTAAGAATTTTATCAACTTGATGCTTGCTACTTGAATGAAAGCAAAATCTATTTCCAGAAATTCGAGATACGTACCTAGTGTGATTGGGATCTATTATCTCTGAGAAGCTTCGATGTACTGTTTCTGCTTACACTGTTAACGATAGGAACAACAATGGCACGCTCACGGCCAGAGCTCTGTTGGTATGACGCTACTCTGACGTAGGACGGGCAAGGTGGTTATTGGATTTTGGACCCAGTTTACAGCCTCATTGGAGACATCCATTTTTCCAGGTTGAGCATTTTGAGATAGTCCACACTCCTCAGCATTTCTTACAGCGCCTGAAACATCTTGAGAGCCCTCCATTACCGAGCTATACACTAAACGTGCCTGCCCTGACAGATTCTTTCCTGCAACCACTTTACAGTTCTTGAGCAGGAGCATTCCATCCAGTAACGATCAGCGGCCACCGGAGATAGCTTTCCTTTGTTGCTAGAAACCGGCGTTTGATAGTTTTAAATTTTCACAAAATATTTTTGGTTTTTATTTAACAATTTCCCAGCTGTTTTTAAATATATTAAAATATATATTTTTTAAATATATTAAAAAATATATTTTTTAAATATATTAAAAAAATATTTTTTAAATATATTAAAAATATATTTTTTAAATATATTAAAAATAATATATGGATGTTTTAAATGCTGTTCTTCAACTTTGTAAACAATTTACTATGGGAAAATAATAATAACAGAAACATTAACCTATTTCGTTTTAATTGGAATTGAATAATTTAAGAATGGGCATTACCCTACCATGACAGAAAGTAATAGCAGACTCGACGAAGCATCCATTGAACGACATAGTACAGAAAAGGCAAAGGAGAGGACTAGAGGGAGAAGGCAAACAATGAATAATGTAGAAAGGATTGAGGAAGGACCTTGTAGGGAGGAGACTACAGTCCAAACAGTCCAGTTCATTAGTCTACAGGACTGTCTCGCTCCTTCCGGATAAACTGAAGCTCACTGTTTGGGCGCCACTTTCCCACTTAGTCCTCTGTCCATTTCAATAAACAAGATAGTCTTTAAAAGTAGTTCAACTATAATAGGGTTCATCTATACCCATAATAGGGTCAGCAATTTCTCAAGAAATAGAAACAATTTATATAACACTTGTTATTGTATAAAGGAATCATGTTAGTGTTTATGTGATCCGATTCATGCCTAAATTATCTGATCCATTAAAAATTGGTTTTGAAGAACATGAAAAAAAAAAAACAACCTATCAATCTATTTTTGATTGAAGGATTTGGCCGAATAACAGTATATATTTTGTAATTTGGCCATTATTCTAGGCACACTCATTTTCAACAGAGCGAGAAAAAATCGGCTTTGTTTTGATCTTTGTCCACCGCATCCATTGGGATTATAATAATAATACAAAAAATATTACCGACAACCGACAATGGGTGTTCCTACATAGTCAACTCTGCATTATTACTTTTTGTATACTAGATAGAGTTTTTTAGCTCAAAACTTTTTTATGAAATGAATATTTATCTAATTACTACATCTTCTAAATTTCTTTATATAAAAGAAATATTACAGTATATTGTAGACATTATTATGAATTCAATAATCACTAGCAAAATGACTAGAACCTTTTGAACAGAAATAACTCGACTAAATAAAAACCATACAATATCCGTTCGAAAGATTTCCATCGTTAAATTTTAGGACCGAATAGCTCTCAACTGTTTTAATACCATACTCAAATTTCACAAATCTTGCACGCGAAAGCAATGTACCCAACACTTTGGATATTTTTCTGCAACTGCCATTAACTCCTCCTTCCTTCACCTTGCCCAGAAAGCTGATTCTTTGTCCAGCCATCTTGTTTTTTAATTCTTTCTTTCAGACAGATTTTTCTCAGTCCGATTCAGGTCTGAGCTTTCTTCTATTAGATTGATATCAGCATGGGTATCCCAAGGTTCAGTGCTCACTCCGCCACTCTACATTGCATAAAACGAGATTCTATGCAGTTCTTACATTTAAACAGTGACATATCAAACTTTTCCAGTGATGAAATCCATCACTTTCGCTTGACAAGAATCGTGTTCACAAGTTTTCCTGAATACACGGATTGCAAAGGCAGCGATAAATTAGTTGTAATTTTCTGTATTTGATTTATATTATATATTTTTTAAACATAAATAACAATAAAAAATATTAAAGATGATTTTTAAACTAATTACATATATTAAGAACAAATATTATATTTCATATATCACAATTATTAAACTGGTTCTCTGGAATATGTCGAATTCTTTCGTATTTCCTCTCAGAAATAATGGCGCAAATAACGGTAAAGCAACCGATGGGAAACTAGGTCAGAATGGAAAACTTTCCTACCAGATAAATAAAAATCATTCCTTTAAACGAACTGGAGTTGCTACCTACACATTCACTGGTTGTTATATGATAATAATAAATAAAAATAGAAAATTGTTATTACCACGTATGCTGATGATACATGTGTCCTATTCGTTAATAATGACCCAACCATTGCATCCCAAACTCTTCAATCGCACTCAACATCAATGGTGTTAAAACTGGAGGATTAAAATAAATTCTAATAAATCCCATCAAATCACCTTTACCCTTCGACGTAAACCTATGACCTCATGTCCCACAGTATCCTTTAATAATACCCCACTTATCCCTGTTGAACAAATCCGATACCTTGGACTTCACTTGGACAAACATCTAACTTGGAATTCTCATACCAGACTGAAACGACAAGAAACCGCTAGACGTTTCCGACTACTCCAACACTTACTAGACAAACGCTCTAAGCTTCCAGTAAATTACAAAAGACTTATACACATGATCACAATAAGACCTATTTGGACTTACGGAGTTGAGCTTTGGGGCTCCACTAAGCCATCGAATTCCTCTCGTATCCAATCCTTACAATCCAAAATCCTTCGGAAAATCCTCAATGCTCCTTACTTTGTCACCAATAAAATAATCCATAATGACCTTAATGTTCCTTATGTTTCCGATTTGGCCCAATCCAGATACCAATCCTTCCATAATAAAATTCAGAACCATCCAAATCCTCTCGTCTCTAACCTTATTTCCTCTTCTATTCCTCATAACCCTCCGAGGCGTCTGAGAAGAAGATGGCCTCGAGATCTCTTATTGTAAATACATTTTGTTTTTAGAGTGCTACGAGTAATAAAAAAAAAATAATGGGAAAAGATAGATGTATAATGATGTGCGGATTAAAATATGTTTCGAAAGTGAAAATAGCGGTAACAATTGTGGAAAAACAAAACAATATTATTATGTTGTATAATGTATTTAATAAATAAAATTATTTTATTAAAATTAAAATTATTTTATTTCTATTCCAGCAGTGTCAATATAATTGGAAACTAGTTGAAGGATGTTAACACTGATATGAAAATGCTCATTCATTCAGTATCATTACACATCCATAATTAAAGTTGATTATTAATGAAATTATCTAAATATCAAAGGAATCCTGTCAGTATTTGTTTGATCTGTCAAGTACTGTTGTGGTACCGATCCCATTGATCAGGAGATACACAAAGAAACTGTTGATTAACAGCAATTCAGGAGTTGGTAGTTGAGAGAGTAGATTAGGAAGTTGGGCTCAAGCGAGGACAATAGCAGTACTTCTATGGTAATTCTCCCTAATCTAGTGTACATTATATCCTAAATTCACTTTATATTTCCCCCTAAATTACATAATTTATAATTATATACACTCTGAGCAACAAATTATATTATCATATCTAGGTCAGGTTATAGAGAAAATCAGTAAATCAGACTTCATGCGCAATAAAAAAGTTTATATAAAACGATGGTCCGATTTTCCGCAGAAAACTAGGAAATTTAAATTATGTGTTGTTTCTTTTAAATGTCGCGTTTAATTTTGAATATTAAGCGATATATAAAAACATTTAATTGCAGCAATTACCAGTCGATTCATAGTAAATTAGACAAAATTCAGTTTAAATGATAGCAGAGTTTTCAACAAACCAACAAATAATGCTTGATATATAATTATATTAATAAATGCAGTAACTAAAGGAAATATTTAAAAAAAAAGATAGCAAATCTGAAGAGCTACAAAAACGTTTATATAAAATATGGTCCGGTTTTTTTTTCCGATTAAGAAAAATATAAAATTTAAGTTTTATGTTTCTTTAAGTAAGTCACGTTTCTTTGTTGAATAGGAAGCGGTACCTAAAATAACATTATATTAAGGAAATTTAAACGGTTTCTTCATATCAAACTAAAAAAATTTAAAATACAAGTAGAGTTCGTCTTTCTTAAAAGTGTACTTTTAAGCGGCTACACTCCACTAAGTGTTTTCCATAAAATCATAGAATTTAATTTGTCAACCCCCAACGGGACTACAGATACTCACTTTTAGAATAACTTCAACAGTTAAAATCTAAGTTTACATTAATTATGTTTAGCAATTTTATTTTTCAATAATGAGCTATTACTTTTTCTCCCCTTCCTCTCATTTTCGGTTATACAGGATTTTTCTGAACCAGAGAGTAGGGTGGGGGTTTAATGCCTGAGTTAAAAAAGCCATCCGATACAACACTGGGACTTGAAATCAGTTTCCGTGTTCCCAGACGACGTGTGTTTTACAGGTCGGTATCGCCGAGTGGGCTAATGCGTGTGCACAGCACCATCGTTCACCAGGTTCAAAGATAATATAATGAAATAATCACGAGTTCGCATCCCGGTTCCAAGGAGGACTTTTAACTCTGAAATTATTCCCCCACACTCACCCCCTGGCTCTGGAAAACTATAACTAGCCTAAAAGGGGAGGAAAGGGAGTATTATTTAAAATTAAAATTATAATAACAAAATAATTTTGCTCACGATTTGGCTCGCTGGGGCACTACACCCTTAACAAGGAGTTGTCTTAAATTTATATTGGTTGGTGCTGAAAGCTGCGTTTGGGAACAACATTGATGCATTTGAAAATACAATGAAGAAACACTGCTTTTTATAAAGGAACCATCTGCCACTCTAACTACCATGCCAGAGTTTACACTTGGAAACTGATACAAATAAAATAAAATAACAAACTTCGTATGTTCCTTTTGTTAAACTCCCTTTTGTTACCAAAAACAGAAAATAACATGCTTGTAGTAAATAATTACTTGTATCTTATTTAAATACAAGTATGATTTAGTAAATATACGAAAATAAAAAGGACAATTATTAGAACATCATAGGAAAGTTTCATCAAAATCGTTAGATCCGTTTTCGCCCTACAGTCTATACAAAAACATGTTTTTCATTTATTGCGCGAAAGCTATGGCCCAAGGAGCACCGAATTTCTGTCACAGGCTTCAGTAGTCAAAACCCTACAAAATAAAAAAAGAAGCAACGAAATCGGTTCTGTAGTTCCCGAGAAAATCTTGGCGAAGACAAACAGACAGGCCAATGGTTAAAAATGTGGTTTTCTGACTCAGGGGGCACTGAAACGTATAGATCCGTTGAAAACTGCATATCAGAAATTTGACCCGATTGCAATGCTTTCCTTACGTAATATAGGTATGAAAGTAACAAGAGTTTACCTTAATTTGTGATCGAAAAAAAAAATGCTATTTGAGACTAAGTATCTGAAATTCGTAAATGATGGTTTTTTATAGGAAAACCAATACCATTATAATGGGGAAGGGTAATATAAAAAAAACAAAAACATTTTTTCATACTCAAGTGTGCCTTTGCCTATTCTTGATGTTTCAAGCACACAATTGTCATTTCAAATCAAGTCAGAGGTTTGAAAATTTTTATGCGAATCGAGTTTGTGTTAAGTGTCTGTTAAGATCTCTGCGATTTCTTCCCTCCAGAGCCATTGTTAAAAAAAATAAATAAATCTTTATAAACAAAACGAGAAAGAAATTTAATTGTTGAACTGATTTCAGAGACTGTTAAATTCTCTTAGGTAAGCATTAATGAAACAATAAAATAACTTCTCGAATATTTTTCAAAAACAAAACAATTCAGCTTGTAAACACGTTTCTATCTCTTCTTCTCCCTCTCTATTTTAAATTTTTATAATTGGTTTAAATTTTTAAAGATTGAATTCATTTTGTTATCGCATTCTTATATATCTAAAACTCTTATCATTGGTGTACATTTTTGAAGGGTTTTATTGACGACTTTGCAATCATACAATTATTATAAATGCTCATGATTCTGATCAAAGTCATTTTTGCTTTACTTTAGAAATCTTACAAATAAATAAATTTGGTATAATATATCATTTGTATTTAATATATAAATTTAATGTATAATATAATACGTAATTTAATATACAATGAAAATATTTAACGTAATAGGTATATAAATTTAACATGATAATTGAAATTTCCTTACTGATAAATTCTCACAACTACAAGTTTTAAGTAGAACACTGCTTAACTCTTCCCGCTTTCTAAAAGTACCTACACTACCATTACATTTAGTGTTAGTACAGAGCCGTTACACTTATACTGGCAATAACTTAGCATCGTTTCTCCTCCAGCGAAGCTTTTCCTCCAGACAATTACTTCCCATCTTAAAGGTTCCTCTGCTTCCAATTCCCATCGCAAATCTTTCGCTAACACTAGAGGGCTTCGACTTAAAAGTACTAGCGGATTACCATGCAAACTGCTCCTATCCAGGTCACGAGTAAGGACTCCACAAAAAAAAAATCCGAACGTAAACTTTTATGCTTTCCTTTTTTTTTATTGCAGCCCCCTCCAGCTCCCCCCCCCCTCCCGAATGGTGTCGTTCTTTGTTCCAGCGGTGAGAGAAGCTCCGCAGGGTTTTTGCCGAAGAAGGGTAGAGAGCTAATTTGTACTTGTTCATTTTCAGCTTCTAACTGATATTGCTTACTCCATCAATCACTTCGCCGGTCTCTTTTTGTTTCTCTTATTTATAGACCGGGGAGGGTATTTTTTGCTACTAAAACTTATATACCTGTCAGATGTTTGGTATTAATATTATTTTTTTGTTTAGCTTCAACTTGTTAATTGAGAAATATTAGGAGTCTAGCTCTGTACTTGCTTGTGACCAGTCGCATTTGCGGTATAGTGTGTTTTCTGATTGCTGTCTTTGTGTTGTTTATGTTGTTGTTGTTTTTTATGTTTGTTTACTGTTAATTAACTTTTTTAGACATGGTTTGTTAATTGTAGTGTTTTTTTTTATAAGTGTAAATAGTTTTCAATATTGAGGTTAGAAAGCCTCACATGGTTTTCCACGAAATTTTGACCTTAGTACATAAAGACTATTAATATCTAGAGATATTAGAGATAGAGAAAGACTAAATATTAATATCTAATTAGAGTATCATAATTAGAATAATTAAAGTTTATCAGAAAAGACTCTTTTTGAAATCAGGTTGAGGTAAGTTATTCATAACCTATCCAAATTCGTTTAATAAATTGTATTATTGTATTGAGTTATCAAGGACTACAAAAAGAAAAAATTTAGAATCCTTTATTAGCAAATATAATAGAATGTTCCCATTGGAACTACAAACGAATTATACAAACAATTGCTGTTTGAAGCTATATTAAATTATATAGGTTAGAACTGTTATCACTGCAGTAATTAGTGTTAAAATACTATTTACTATGGACGATAGTGTTATAGAAATGGAAGAAGAGATAGAAGATGAGAAAAAACCTAAAAGATCAAGACCTGTAGCCAAGAGAGCCAGGAATGGATCGCCTGATATAACAGACCAAAAAGAGAGTAAAACGGATCCGTTGTTAGTAGAGGCGAAGGCCATTCAAGAAAACTTAAGAGTTTACCTTACGAACGTGGATAAAAGATTAAGTGTGAAAACACAAAAAGATATAAACGGTAAAGTGAGTCATCTTATCGATATCATGGAAACCGTCATCGATAGATCGAAAGAACAGAGAGCATTAATTGAACGAGTTGTCAAGGAGACACTATCATCTCCTAGCGTGTTTGACAAAATCACGGACATTCTCGTTGAACGATCTCTACCTAGAATTTTCGAGAGGCTTCCAGCAGCGGAAACACAAAACCACAACCCACCGCCTAAAGCTGGAACATCTGGGATCAATTCATTAAACAATGAATTAATAATTAAACCTTCAGAAGAAGTTTTAGAATTAGAAGATTTTGCTATAGTTCAAAGTCGAAGAAAAAAGAAAAACGTTAAAATGATAGCCAAAAAGAACGAGGAAGTAAATGAGCAACTGAAAGGAGTACAGAATAGTTTTAATGCGTCAATTTTACCCCCGGCAAAGAAAACTATGGCGGACATAGTTAAAACGCTACCGATTAAACCTAAGGAAAATGCACCGCGGCATGCGTTTGTTACAATGGCTAGAGGAGGGAAATCTGCTCTAGAAATTGTCAGCGAATTGCCATCTCCGAATGAACTAGGAGTACAGGCAAAAGTGATCCGTACAACCAAGGCTGGTGCTGTTCTCGTACGCGTAGAAGATGAAAATCAAGCCATCAAGCTTTTACAGTGCCAAAAGTTACTAGAGAAAGGGATAGAAACTAAGATGGCATTGAGGAGAAAGCCTAGACTGCAGGTAAGGGGAGCACCTCACTCTTGGACCGCATCTGAATTGGAAATGGTAATATGGGGAAGATTGCCTCAGGAGACAATACCCATTGGGCTAGAAAGAAAGGAGTGTGTCCAGGCATGTTTCTCTTCAATAGCAAGAGGAGGCCTTACAAGGAATTGGGTGATAGAGGTTCATCCGATGATAAGATTTGGCCTAATACAAACATCAGTTATTGATGGAGGATGGTGGTCCTTGAACTTTAAAGATTATATAGATCCTCCTTGCTGCATGAAGTGTCTGGGATATGACCACTCTAAGGCGTCCTGCACAGCAGACTCTCTGGTTTGCAAATGGTGTGCCTGCCCAGGTCACATAGCTAAGGAGTGCCCAAGAAAGAAGGAAAGGGCAGAACCGATTTGTGCGAATTGTGTACGAGAAGGGAAACAGAAACACCTGGCCAAGCACCAAGCGGGCTGTCAAACTTGCCCAGTCAATTTAAAGAAGACCCAAGAACTAGCTAAGATAAAAAAGTATGAGTAACAAGATTACTATCCTACAACTTAATATGGGCCGACGGCGTCTTGTGTCTGATGAGCTACGAGCTCTAGCCCATCGCTATGACATTTTCGCGGTTCAAGAACCAGGTTGCTATAGGAACATGGTCACGGGGTTTGGCCTCACGTCAAGGGTTATAGCCTTGAGCAGTGGAGAGGGGAGGCCCAGGGCTGCTATAGTTATCAATAACCCCAACCTTGACGTGATGGAACTGAGGCAGTATACCATGGCGGACCGTGCTGTATGTTACATAAGATGGGGCAGGATTGCTTTTACACTGATATCTGCCTACATGCACGATAGAAGAGATGTTGAAGAGGATATATCCGCCATGGAAACGATCTTACAAGGTACAAGAAACGTGATCGTCTGCTCAGATGCCAACTCCTGGAACACGGTCTGGGGGTCCAATCGAACAGACAGAAGAGGCGTCAAGCTGGGTGAATTTATTGCTAGAAACCAATTGGTGGTGATAAATGATCCATCTGCTACACCTACCTTCTCTGGAGGTAGAGGGCAGAGCTGGATAGATATCACTCTAGCTTCACCAACGCTATCTAGATACATCTTCGATTGGACACTCAGATCAGAGACGAGTTCGGACCACAATGCGATTGCATTTGGCCTGGTAGATGATCCAGGATGTTCCTATGGCAACGTGAAGGGCTATTTGACCAGAAGAAGTGAATGGAATGTCTTTTGGTGCATGATGGAGGGTGAAATGGTCGACGAAGAGTGGGAAGTTGAGGATTCAGAAAACACCGATGACCTAGACTACAGGGTGTCAAGGATTACTGATGCCATCCGTGATGCTGCCGAGAACTCCCTCCAGCACCGGAAGACGAGGGCTCGACCTGTCCCGTGGTGGACGCCGGCCTTAACAGCTATGAAGAGAGACCTCTACAAGGCACGGCGGTCGTACCAGAGGTGCAGATGCGACGAGAGGCGCACTGCACTTCGTAACGAGTATAAGTCCATGGCCAGGGTATACCGAAATGAGGTTCGTTCACGAAAGCGGAAGTCTTGGGACGATTTTATCGTCAAAGAATCTTCAAAGAATCCTTGGGGTATTCCGTATAAGGTGGCTCTGGGCAAGTTGACTCCGCTGCAAACGATAGCGGCGATGAGGCATGAAGATGTCCATGCTGCTACCTTAGAAGAGACCGCTAATTTCTTCGTCAAAGCGACTTACCCCAAGGACGACCCATCTCAAGACACCCAAGAGGAACATTTTGTGAGACATACCACGGTATACCCGCCAGGCACTGACTTTTGCTCACCATGGGACGCAGATGATATTCGTATTGCCGTGGGTAGGCAAAAGAATGGCCGCGCTCCAGGACTTGATGCTATAGATGCAGCGATCCTAAAGAACAGTATCTCCTATATTGAAGAGCGACTTTTAGGAATCTTTAATGATTGTTTAGATAGGGGATACTTCCCCAGGAAATGGAAGATCGCTGATTTGAGACTCCTCTACAAGGGAGGAGGCAGGGATAAACAACTTCCTAAGTCATATAGACCAATTTGTCTCCTCCCTGTGATGAGTAAGGTCCTGGAGAACCTCATGATGACCAGGTTACGGCCAGTTCTCAATCAAGCAAGCCATCCACGGCAATATGGCTCTACCAGAGGCAGAGGAACCGCTGATGCTCTGCTGAGAGTTCGCAGAGATGTTGAAGAAAGGGCGGAGCGATACGTCATGCTGCTCCTTTTTGATATATCCTCCGCCTTTGATAGTTTATGGTGGCCCTGCGTACTCCAGCAGCTGCAAAAATATGACGCTCCCAGCAACCTATATGCCCTCTTAAGGAGCTATCTTCAGGACAGGCGAGTGAAGATCAAAGGCAGCTATTACGAGGTAGAAGCTTCCGTAGAGAGAGGATGCCCTCAGGGATCAGTACTTGGTCCTGCTCTATGGAAGCTGGTTTTTGATGAGTTGCTGGGAGTGCTTGAAAATGAGCGGTTCTCTGCCACCGCCTATGTTGACGATCTAGCTGCTGTGGTGGCATCCAACAGCAGGACGGGGATCAAACTAGCTGCAGAGCGATGTGCCAACCTTGTAGCCAGATGGTGTGAGGGAAAGAAAATGCGTATGGCTGCTGAAAAGACGCAAGCCATCCTCTTGAAAGGCACGACTGATAGAGCACACCCCATTAGCATGGATATAGAAGGTCAAATAATACGCCCAAGTGAGGTGGTAACATATCTTGGTGTAAGGTTAGGAAAAGGCCTAAATATAACACCTCACTTGGATTATCTAGCAACTAAGGTGACCCAAGCCTTGAACGGACTCAGTCGTGTTGGGGGTGCATTCTGGGGCCTCAGATACCCCGCAACGATGACGATCTATAAAGGTGTTGTGCTGGGTATCTTGAGGTATGCATCTCCCTCCTGGTATAGGAACCTCACACAGCGACAGCGAAAAAGGTTGGCGTCGATCCAGAGGATGGCCCTGTTGCGTGTCACCAGAGCATTTAGGACAACGTCACATGAAGCAGTGCAGGTCCTAGCGGGGGCGGTACCTCTCGACCTCCTCCTGCAAGAAGATGTGACCAAGCATAAATACAAGAAAGAAGGCTTGGCTGGAGTTCCAGAAAATCTACGGGTGAGGATTGTGGAAAGTCCCAACAAATGGAAGAAGATAATCCGGGAGGATACGATTGAGGAATGGAGCCGTCGGTGGGTTGCTACCCCGAAAGGGAGTACTCTCAGAAAATACTTCCCCACCGTACAGTCGCGGTTAGATGCACAATGGATCCTCCCGGACTATTGGATTTCACAGTTCCTCACGGGGCATGGGGCTTTTCGAGCTAAGCTACATGGCTTTGGCCAAGACATAGATCCCCAATGCCCCACTTGTGGAGTTCTGGAGACTGTCGAGCACGTGGTCACGGACTGCACTGCATTTGAAGGAATAAGGGCAACGATGATGAGAACGGCAGGGATTTACGTCCTAACAGAGGATGAACTTCCTCAGTTGGTAAGTAAGGAGAACTTCCCTCGGTTCAAGAAATTTATTTATGACTGGAAGGAGGCAGTGGGTCCAGCCCACTTCAACATCGGAGCACGGAGAAGAGGACCACCACCAAGAAGACCGCCGGAAGACGGACACCCTTGATAAGACGTCACCGAAGATATATTTTAAACTGTTTCACTTGCATTAGTATGCTGTTATGCAGTCATGCATAACAGCCCACTATTGCAAACGCCCGTATGGCCCATCAGGCAAGGTAGGGTGGAATGTAAATAAATGAATGTAAATAAATAAATAAAATTGAGAAATATTACAATCTACCTCAATTAAGGACATAATAGAATTCAGAGGGCGCATTCATACTATATTTATAGAAAAATAAATAAATTAAAACAATAACAATGATTACTTTATGATACATAAAAATAAGAAAAAAAAAATAAAAAAAGCGTACGTAGAAAGAAAATAAATGAAAACAATATATATAATAATTAAATTAAATTAAACAAAATAAAATGTACTTTAAAAAGTAAAATAAACATCTTAGACACAGCCATAGTTATGTACACTACTTTACAATCATCCACAGGATAATTAAATAAGTCTTGCCCTCCCCCTCACTTGTGGAGGTGAAAGCGAGGCTCCAGTAGATCCCAGAGGTTTCCCCTCAACCACAACACAACTATTAAAAACCAGCGGAATTTAAGTAAAAGCTTTTACAACTAAAGATACTGATGACTTGAATGGAGAATCTGACCATTGCCGTTTAAATTTACGAAAATGATTTTACGGATAGGTAGTGCTAGATAGGGATTGTGCTAAGAGATTTAGATGGTGTTTAATATTATATTAATAAACTATTAAAGATACTTATATTTTTATTTTACTCATTTTAGTACTGTTCTATGTGGCAAGGATGGAGAATGAAGCAATCCCTAAGATGATCCTGACAGTACCTCTCTACGGCACAAGAATGGGTGGGAGACCAAAACTAAGATGGCAGGAGCTGTATGATGGCCGCAAAGAATAGAGATGGCTGGAGGAAGCCGGTGGAGAAGGCCAGGACTCGTCACCGAGTTATAGCGCCGTGATAATAGTTTATGTAATTTAATTAATTAATTCAAATAAAATTTTATTCTATGTTCACCATCGCATACTGTTTAATTCATTATGGCACTTTCTATTTGATAGATATTGTAGCAAGAGTCCAAGTACAAGTTGAAAACTGATTGGTCAGCACTAGAGACCTGGAAAATATTGTATTAATCTACTGAAAAACGGAAATAAATAAATCGATTTTCTCCACTATCACCCAGAAAGGGAACTTAAAAGGAGGACAACATGAAACTGCCACTGCAGAATGCTAGATTATCAAAATTCTCCAAATCAATTTAATTTGAAACTATGTAATCATCTTCCCAAATTAAATTAACATACTAACAGCATTATAATTAATTTAGGCCACTCACAAGCTATATCATGTATGATCATTTTCGTATTAAAATAAAGCAATCCATTATAAAATAAAAAAATCCCATATTCTTCATTTTCCATATATACTGTCTATAATCAGTCAAAATAAAGTTAACTGATAGAATCAACCGATTATCATTAATATCTTCAATAAAAAAGGAATACCATGATTAAATATTTCAATAAAAACTACTACTACTCAATCGGCACAGCTTTCCTCGAAACCCGAACTTAAAAGGCTCCTTCTTAAACCCATTCGCCTGTCATAGCTTTTTTTGGGCTGTCGGTCGATCTCCACATCGGTCATCTTTAAGGAGTCTTTTAAAGATTTCATTGGCCTACTTCCCTGATGCAGAGGCAAAACAAAATAGGACCTATTGGCTAATGTTGATGGTATCTTTCTATCAACAGAACTATCATGAATTGCTTGAATCTGCGACCCGTGGTACACAAACTGATCAATTGTCTTTTGAGTAAGGACCGACTTGGACAAAATTCTAGTTGATACCTCCATCTTTAGGTATTAACATCAAGCTTTGGTAGCACTTGCTACATCTTTTGATATTCTAACAATGTCATCAGGGTATTCCAGAATGTTTTCATACGCTTACAGATCGCCTCAGATACGGAAAAGGTAATAACTCTTTGACGTACGTCATTACAGAGTTAAATTGTACAGATTATTCCCCTTGAACTCGCTTCACACACCGAATATTGCTCATTGTAAGTTTTACCACATGAATAAGCCTATTATGTGTATCACGCCCAGAATGATAAACGAATCGATCTGGGATCAGAGTAAAGAGCTGCTTACAGAAACTGATCAATCAATATCTAATGATATGAAGGTACGAAGCTTAAGATGGGCGGGGCATTTAGCTTGGTGCAATCCGTCTGGATGCCTCTATGTAACAATGAAAGCCTCAATAAAAAGCAAAAGACCACGGAGAAGGCCAAAAAGCAGATTGAAAGATAGAATCAATAAAGATGCAATAGAGCAGCATGCAGATAACTGGATAGAAATAGTCCAAAAGAAGCAGGTTTGTTAAAGCGGCAAAAGGTCTACAAGGTCTGTAACGATGAAAGAAAAACTACCAGGCATCAATCTTTGAGAGGCATATAAACAACATTGCTTTATAATAGCTTACGTTAAATATTGTCATAAGCGGGTCTAAATTCAACAAATCGACGGTGCGTTCGGATGTGGTATTAATTTCCTCGCTCCGGAATAATTAACAAAGCGAATGTTTGGTCTGTTTTGGGCTCACCTTTACGAAACTCTGCATGGTATTTCCAAAGGCCACTCTCAACGTTGGTACAATACATTATAGAATACTTGATTTAAACTGTTAGAATAACTTCTTTTACACTATAATTACAAGGTTACACTATAATAAATACTTTACTTAAACTGTTATAGGATAAGTAATATAAAAGTAGTGACAGTATAAATAATATTGTTATCTTTAAATCAGATGCAGTGCAAATTTTAATCTTTTTGCAAATCTTACGCCTTTTAATAAGATGAAATGATAAGTGACATTTAAATTGTATTATATCTCATATATGTGCACAATGCAATTGATATAAATATATACTTCAATAATAGGAAAGGATCATTTAATTTGTGAAACATTGTTGAATAAAGGAGAAGAATAGAGAATTCCCTTCTGGGCGATATGCTTTTCTCAAGGTGCCTCAGATCTCGGGAGTCTTGAATAAATTATGGTACTCTGCACTATTTCTACATTCTCTCTATCTAGGGGCATTAGCATATAAAGAACTATTGTTTTTAATATTTAGAAATCTGCAAAATGGGATAATGCTACGCTATATCACTTATATATTATTAAAAAGAAATATCTAAAAAGCTCCAAAAGGTCATTCTTTAATTGTATAAGAAGTATTTTATCATACTTTTGTTAGAGAAAGCGTGAAAAATTCTATGCCACTTAAAATATTTCAAGTCGTCTTTACAGTAAGGAAAATATATGTTACTAGTATTTTTTTATGAAAACACGAGCAGAGATTTTTTTTTTTTAAAGGAATATCTCAAAAAGAAAATATCTGTTTATTCAATTATCGATCAGAAGTTAAGAAGTAGCAATTTTTTTCAAGCAATCTTTTCCTTATTTAGAGAAAACAATTTAATTATTTGACAACAATTATTATTTTGAGACAATTATTATTTTACAATGTTAACAGCCAAACGATTAAATCAACTATAGTTTATAATTGGCGATAAAAGCCAAATTTCCATATTTTTAAACCAATACCCTTGACTTTTCCTGATTTCCTGATTTGGAATTCTCCTACTTTCCCCGTTAATTCTGTAAATTCCAGGTTTAAAGCGACCCTCGATAACTACGTATTTCATTCAGTCATTCTTAGCATTGGTATCATTGAATATATAATTGTATAGATTAAGGTATGTGTTTGTTTTTTAAAAATTATTTATCGAAAAAGTTATTTTACTTTATTCATCGTATGAACTTTTTGATAATTATTTGGTTATTTATCTTCTGTTTATTTTATTTTATCTTTTTTGTTAATATAATGTGAATATGATCTTATTCATATAATGTGACCCCCATGTAATCAATGTCCAAGTGATAGAATGTTATATTATTATATAAAAATAAATATTTTATTTATAATAATATTTATTATATTAATAAATAAAAAAAAATGTATAGATTTCAGCAATTAAAATAAAATAAAAAATAATTTGTATGTATAATAATGTTTAAACAAATAAAAATATCTACAATGAATTATAAATAAGTATAACGACCTTCTTTATCAGTGACACTTTTGTTGGACTAAAAATATTTCGTGGCACTTATATATTATAATCAAATTAATAATAGGGTGTATAAAAAAAAATGATTTCAAATGATTGTAAATATTTTAATTCTAAGCTTGTTTAATCCCATTCGACTTCTTAAAAAAAAAAACCTCAGTTTAGTCATTTGTTTCAAAGGAGAGACATGACAGTGTCCAATGGAATTATCGTAATTTTAAGGAATTACTTGGAAAAAAAAATTCACAGCTGCTAAAGCAACTCCTGAAATTATTTTATATGAAGCGAAAGGTATTCTTGCCCAGCGCACTGCGCGGCGTTGGTTTGAAAGATTTAGCAGTGGAGATACAACGAGGAAGAAGGGATCAGGACGACTATTAATTGGTATTGATGAGGTTCTGCAGGAAGCTGTTGAGTCAAATATTCGATACAAGTATTCGCGAACTTGCCAGGGAGTGTGGTATGTCGAAAGATAATGTTAGTCGCCATCTACCCTCTAAGGAGAAGGTAAAAAAGTGCAGTATACTGGTTCCTCACTAACTTACTCCTCAGCAATCAGCTAAGATGTTAGAATATGTAAACATTTATTAAAAACCCCTTCTGATATAAGATTTTACCGAAAGATTGTCATATGTGATGAAAAGTGGGTTTACTGGATAAATCCGAATACCCGTGAGCAATGGCTAGATCAAACTGCTTTTTCGGTTGCTGCAAGGCAGCAATTTGAAAAAAAAATCCATGCTTTGCATTTATTGAAATTTTTAAGGTGTTATTCATCACAAATTTGTTTCTGATGGATGCTCTATGAATTTTGAACTCTGCTGCGAACTACTGAAAATATTGTACGCAAAGTTGACAGAGCGTTTGATCAACCGAAAAGAAATTTTATTCCAAAAAGATAATGCTCGTCCGCACATTTTTCGTCGAACCAAATAAAAATTTGAAGAACTTCATGGGTTCGAAATCCTGCCTCATCCACCATATAGTCCAGACCTCACAACATCGGATTACTACTTGTTTACATCCATGACCCATTTTCTTCAAGGAAAAAAATTTGACAACTTTGTGGAAGTTGAAATTGCGGTCAAAGAGTTCTTTGAAAGCCAATCCGAAGAACTATATCAGCGAGGGGTCGAGCAATTGGCTAGCAGATGGTTAATGACGGTAGATAACAATGGACTTTGAGTATTAATAGTATTTTATATCAATGAAATTATAATACAAATATTTGGTTGAAAAACATTTTTATTTTTTTATACTATTAATTAAAATATACAGTCTTCAAAGAAAATATTAGTTACAATAAAAAACACATATAATGCATATATGCATATACACTAGACGGTTCTGAAAATATATAGTAATTAATTGTATTAAATAATATTTCGTGCCGTCTGGAATTTCTACTTTCATTTCCTTTTGTCTGAAAATACCTATATCTATTAAAAAAAAGAGAAGGTGGTAAGCGAAAATTGTGTGATGCGAGCACCGTAACCGATTCTTTAATATTGAATCCTAATCAAATACTCAACATTTCCTTATAATATAATTTTTTGACGTTTTCAACATTTGAAATCATTGGAGTGCCGGAATTGCGTAGTTTTTCAACAAGCGGTTTTCATGGCTTGTTTCTTTTATCAATATATTTACTCAGCTGCCATTTTTAATAAAAAAAAAAGGAAACGAGCGGATGTTATTTTACACAAAGTACAAGTGAGACTTATTTAGGGGGTACTTTATCATATGCATCTATTATAATATATATTAAATAAAATGGAATGCAATTATAACTGGAGATCACTTATTTTTTTAAGTTGTTGTGAATGCAATTTAAATTTGTGTATGCAATTGTGTATGTATGCAATAATTTGGTGTCACTTTTGTAGTTTTAGGAAGCATTTGTAGAACCATGTCTGTTTTTGTGTTAAGTATATTATCAAAGGATGGGTATTCATAGGCCCATACCCATGACATTGATTTTTCCATAATTTTTTCACAACATTGATTGTTATTTATAAACAATTATGTCAAAGATCTGAGGAATTTAATATATTCGAACAATTGTGGAATTATCATAATTCGTGAAGTCATAAATGACATAAAAAACACGGAAAACCGGTAATTCCTTGCAAACTGAACTCAAGGTTGTTATTATTTCAAAAAGATTATTATTAGATTAAACTATCTTAAATGTATTGTTAAGAAAATAAGATAAAGTTAAAGAATAGAAAACATTTATTATTATGATGACGTTTTATAAAAATTTGCTCAAAATAATACTATATAAATATAATGGTTTGTAAAATTAAATGATAAGGAACAATACCTATCCTTAAATTGGTACAAAGATTTCGTTAAAGTAATTTTTCTTATTTAATCGTATTTTTTTATTTAAACATTTGTTATCAATCCGTAC